TGAGCAGGGGGTTGGACTAGATGACCTCTTGAGGTCCCTTCCAACTCTGATATTCTATGATTCTAAGATGAGTGCATCAATTTTCCATGCTCCTAATCCCATTCCGGTCCCAGAATCGCAAAGCCATTCACTCATTATGGGTGATGACCCTCTTCTCTTGGGCATGACTGAGAAGAGAAACAGGTACTATAAGCTAGTCATAAGGGCAACTAGGTCTAGCCTTGTTTTTCTAATTATTGAATGAAAAGGAAGATAACTCACCCCATGGCAGCCTACATGTTGCCCTCCAGTACAGATGCACGGAGGCGTCACAAATGCTGACTAGTTGTCAGCATATGAAAACCACCACTGCAATCGATACTAATTGGTCCCTTTGTTGGCAGTCTCCACAGAGAGGCCAAGCAATGAATGGACCATGGAGAAGTGAGCTGCTCTCCTGCTCCCGGGGGTGGTACCCCTATTATGGGGAAGTATCAGAGAAGTTAACTGCTGATGCCCGTGCAGTACCTGGTTGGTGGATAAACAGAGAGCTTCAGTTTCCAGAGAATCAGGCCAGCACCAAACACGGACCCTAATGCTCTAGTGTTTAGAGTATAAAACAAACAAACAAACAAAAAAGAGTTGGGACTTCTGTGTTCTGTTGCCAGATAGGACTCTGATTCACTGTGTGCCCCTGGGCAAATCATTTAACCTCTCACTGCCTCAGTTTCCCTATCTGCATAATGGATCTAAATCACATCTACCTCATGAGAGATTTGAGGCTTAACTAGTGGGCATACCACAAAGGCCCTTGGGAGTTAGTAATTCTGGCCAAGTGACTGGTTTCCCCCAAGGGTTGGGTCTCTGCAGTGTGATTCAAAGGGGGGGTCGAAACAGGATTTTGCAGGGGTGCCACAGAATGACACACAACACTGTAGTTGCTCTGCAGTATGTGGTGCCAATTCCCACTGACTGCGTGAATTTGCCACAGTTTTTAATTGATGCCATTGTATGTATGGTATCAACCTATGGCAGAATATATTCCAGCTGCAGGTCTGGAGCAGTTTTTACAGTGCCTAGAGTCAGGGCTGGCTCCAGGCACCAGCAAAGGAAGCAGGTGCTTGGGGTGGCCAATGGAAAGGGGGTCTTCAGTGGCAATTCAGCGGCGGGTCCCTCACTCCCTCTCGGAGGGAAGGACCGGCTGTTGAATTGCCGCCGAAGTGCCGCCGATCGCGGCTTTATCTTTTTTTTTTTTTTGGCTTCGCCACTTGGGGCGGCAAAAAAGCTGGAGCCGGCCCTGCCTAGAGTTGTAGACAGGTTGTTACGGTTCAGGACTAGTTGTACCTTTGATCTCTCTCTGCGTACCTTTTCAAGTGACGGGCCTTGTACCTTCACTTCTCCTAGGATGGGATCCCACAGCTCACTCCACTTTTAAGCTATGGCAACCATGATTATTTTGCAGGCTCGACTGTGTTTGGTCACCTGCATGGATTCTTTCCGGAGCTGTGACCAGTAGGTGACATAGTGACTCTGAGCAGCCTCTTCAAAACCAAGTGTTGTTTATTTATCCATAGGGACACAGCAATCAGAGAACTGGGGTCAAACAAAAAAGGACTACACATATAGCCTTACTGAAAACTTACCATTTCCTTCAAGGCCTAACTTATCCCAGGCACCACTACACTGGGGACAGGGCTCTATCAGCTTTCTGCACATTCTGCTCCTCCACCTCGGTTCATCAGGGCTGTGCTTTTTAATAGTTCCAAAGTTTTTTGACATTTCCCACCTGAAGGTCCCGTCCGTCCCCCCACCCTCGTCCCAAGCTAAGGGTTATGTGCAGCTTGGTTAAAGACAAATTTCAGACACTCCATGCAAGAGTATTGCCACCTCCAGAGCACATGTTCATGGCATAGGGTGGCCTTGCATGAGTTTCCCTTCACCAGTCTCTCAGAGGGAATCATGTGGCTCAGCTCTTGGGCTGGGTCACTCTCCGAGTTCAGTCCTCTTTCAGGATACTCAAAGTCCAAACTAAATACCACCTTCAATAATAGTCCCAACCTAGTTAACATAAACAAAACATCTTCTACCCCTCCTGGGCTTAACTCGCAGTTCTTTTCACTCTTATCAGAATGGTGACTCTCTGGGTTTTTTCCCTGCTGGGAATCCAAGAACAAGATAAACCAAAAAGTGCCTACTCCAGTCTCCAGCTGAGCCCAGCCCCTCCACCCTGAAGGTCTGTTTTCCTGCTGTCTATCAAGTCAAAACTCCCAGAGTATGTCCTCCTCTCTGCCTTGGCAGGTCACTCCAAGCCTTCCCTAACCGGAGTCCTTTTCTCCCCTGCTATCTCAGGGTCTCCTACAGGAAACTTCTTGCTCTCTACAGTTTCTGTAACCATCTGCTGCCCCACTCTTCCTTTCCACTCAGGCCCCTCTGAACTAAATATGGGTAGAAGCCTGAGTGAGTCACATGACCACTGGTAATAGGACCTTCTTCATTCTCCCCAATGTGGGGAGATGAACTAATTGCATCACAGGTGGGACTTGGCCTGTCTCTTCATAAAGGGGCCAGGAACCATGTGACACTCTGACATCTGTATTGTTAGTTAAATACTGGTATCCAAAGCCATTGTCTGACATGGGGTGAGCTCCGATAAACAGAGGCACACATAATAGTCATAAAAATAAAACAGATCTCTCTCACATTTGTCAGAGGAGGTCTAGGCCATGCAGTTACAACATTATGTCTGAAAGACTAAGAGGTACCATTTGTTTCCAACTTGCCCTCTAGTCTAGGCACACATACAATACTCACCTAGGGGTATTGCATCTGCAGAAAGACTGTGCCAGTCAATCATTTTCTACCACAATCATTTAGTGAGGATAGGACCTGCTGTCTCTCACAAACCTCCTTCTATCAGTCCTCAACAGATATTTTGACCTTATTCTATCCCTTTGTTCAAATTTCTGATCACCAGAGATGACTTGAAACAGTTGTTATAGATTTGGTTTTTTTTTTTAAAGCAGGTAACAAAAATTAAAGGAGGTTTTTCAATCCTGTCATTGGTCTCAGCTGTTGTGAGAGGTGTGTGTGTGAGGGTGTTCTCAGGGGTCGGCTGGACTAGGTGGGCAGGAGAGCTCGGGAAAGGACTGGCATTTAGACTGAGCACAGAAAAATGCAGAACAAAAATTCACAGGAAAATCCAGATTTTTTTGCAAATATTTTTCCTGAAATTTCAAATGTTCAAAAAGCTCCAGCCACTTGAAAAATAGTAACAATTGTTTTGTGAAAGCTTTTTGGGAAAAAAGGCTAAATGTTGAAGTTTTTTTGATAAGTCCTGCTCATTGGTGTTTATCATCAAACTAAGATGGCTCTCATTTGCTATAGCTCACCCTGGCATTATCTCCTGGTGCTGCAGATATTAAGTAGCTTTCTAAATTGTAAGCTGTAATGCTTACTAGTCACCCCAGAAGTGAGACTGGTGGGTGCATCAGTCCCTGGGAGTAGTTTGCATGTTATATTTATAGAGTGCTTTAGGATCCTTTGGGATAAAAAAATACTACAGGCATATAAACTATTATGTAAAACATTATTATCTAGCATCAGAAATTACTTCTCTAAGGTCCATTCTCTCTCTCGCTCACCCTCATTCATTCAGCTTCTTGATCACTATCTGCTATTCTTTCCTTTTCTCTTCCAATCTCTTTCCCTCTTTCTCAGTCTCCCAGGGCCAAATTCCCCACTGCTGAAAGCGGGTGGGAGTTCAGTGAAGAGGAGCTGCACTTGCTTGTGTCACACATGGACTAAGTGTGTTGTGTCCCCCGTCTAATGACTGGTCCACATGGAGGATGAGAGCCTACTACTGCTCCAAGCTAATTGAGTTCCTCCTTTACCTCAAGGGGCAGAGGTCTGTGCTTTGGAGATGTTTAGAACAGGTTGGGAACACGTACCACTGAAACCCCCATGTGTACAATAAGCGTTCCTCTGTTCCTCCATTACCCAGCACATTGACATTTCCCTGCATTTCTGCCATTCTCCAAGGCAGTGCTCTTGAAAAGGGTATCACGACTAGTTTGTGTACTCACAGGTCTAATAGCAAAGAGGAGCCCAAATCCCTGGATCCAAACACCACTGACCTTTATAGGAGTTTCGTTCTGGTTCTGAAGTTTGTAGTTTGAGCTCATCTCTAAATAGACAGAAAAGAAAAATAAATGAAAATGAATTTTTCTGTATTGATATTACTAACCTACACTTACATGGGAACTTTCATCCAAGGGGCGCAAGCTTTGCAAAAACGAGGAAATATTATTATCCCCATATTACAGATATAAGGCAGAGAGCTTAACCAACTTGCCCAATCAAGGAATTTATGGGGGTAAGTATGATCTGGAGGTGTTCAGGGGCTAGAGTTATTTGGGGATGTAATAGATGTTTTAAAAGGTACCAAGAATATTCCCATCCATTCCCCGATCTCTTGGCAAGAAGAAACCCTGAGTTCTAAAAGTTATTCTGATTATTCTCCTGCTTGTGAATCGTTTTCCAGAATTTGATTTCATTTTTTCCTGCTCAGTTTTGTGAACACATGCACAGAATTAGATTCTTTTTGTAGACTATACTCAGCCATTCTCTACATTATAGGCAAAATTCTCCTGTCTGTTATTCTGGTGTAAATCTGGAGTAACTATCAAAGTCAATGGAGTCACACTGGGCATACAACAGTGTAAAGGATGGTGGAATTTGGCCACTGGGAGCCAGACACAAGGAGGAAGATTATATATTTGGGAAGAAAAATCATTGGACTGGGATTGGAAGGTGATATCATTATTAAATGTGCATGTAGGTTTGGAATCAGGAAAAGACACTGTTTAACATAAGCTGACAAGTCAAGTAAGTATGCAAGAACATGATCTGGGACTTCCCAGGCAGACCTTGCTGGAGCTCTGAGCTGGCAGGCTGAAAGGGACATGGCTTTAGGCTGCGAGAATAAATGGAGGTTTTTTTGGTGTGCTTTAGGTGAATGACCCAATTCTGTTCCAGTTCCAGAGGATTTAATTTAATTTAAGTGGGGATGTTCCAAATTTACACCAGTGTAAAAGAAAACAGAGTTTGATCCATTATCTTCCTGTGCAAGTCTAGGCAACTAGAGGTGTTTTTAATTGACAGTTTTCTCACTCTAGCAATAATTTGCCATACAATTCTGATAGATTGCTCAATCTGTTTAATCTAGCTATCGATCAATCGTCTGGTATCCTGTTAATTAGGGAGAGAAAAAACTGACTGGCCACAGGGAAACAGAATCAGGAGTTGTGGGCTGAATACACGGTCAGAAGTGAGAGGGGTTGTTATTCCTACCCGTACGCAGTGCTGCGAGGAGGCTGGAGAGGGACAGGATGGGTATGGAGGGAATCAACCACGAAGGGTAGGCATTCTGGTTACAGAATCAGAGCTCAGTTTCTGAGATAGCCTATAAAACAGGAGGCATAAACAAAACACTACTTCTACTGAACATCTTCTCTATAAAGCTGAACAGAGAGGGCGTGGATGGTTGGTTTGGTAAAAATGCGTGTTCAGTAAAGATGGACAGGCAATGACATTGTACAGATGCAAGTGAGAGCAGGATTTGGCCTGACACTAGGGGGCACAGAAGTCAGCCAGGGAAGTCTTGAGGTGTTGACATTTTTATTACAATCTAAAGCAAAGAAAATCTCACTCCCACACACCCTGTATACTCTTACCCTTCGAGGTCAAGTATTCTCCGTCAGCCTCTCAAAACCACACACACCCCTCTCTCTCTCAGCTTAGCATTGTCATCACAGATAATGTTTTACTCTTATAGCAAATGTAAAGGGATGGCAATAATTTTTGCTTTTGAATAAAGGGTCATCAGCCTGAAAAGGTTGAGAAACACTGGCCCTGTGTGTGCACTTACCCTTTCACAGGTCATTAGGGCGATTGTGTTTGCAGAAACGGTAACTGCACATACAAATGGCTGAAGCTGGGTATTTGCGAACACAATTATCTAGTCTGTGTATGCCGTCCCAGTACCTCCATGCTTAAGCTTTGTTGAAAATCAGTCTCTGTAGGAATATTACACGACCCTTTACACTTGCCTATGATCTATGGTACCCCTAAAATGAGATATTTGAGGCAAAGGACTCTTAAAAATCTTATTGACGTGCTGAGCAAAAGTATACGCCTGAACTTTCTGCTAAAGTAATATTAGATTGAAAAAAAAATAGCTTTCAAATCCGGGGAAACTCTGGGACCTGATAGGCAGTTGAATAATATTCATAAGCAATTTCTGCTCAAGTTATTCATCCTTCAGATCATGTGTGGCTTAACTCTACCTCTCAGCACAGAATTTTATCCTAAATGAAGCCATTGGTGCACTTTCATTTGGTAAAACTAACAGATCCGCTTCCCTGTGTGTCACACAGAACTATTGCAAACTCCCTTCTACGGCTCTTTGCTATGATTTTTGGCTTGGAGAAGAGAACACGTGGTAGTGGGCCGTCTACACAAGGATCAATTAGGATTTACTCCCAGGTGGGAGGATGTAGTGGTGATACTTAGTCTTGAAGCAGAGACGGCGGATGTTTGTCAAAAAGTAATCCAGAATCTCATCACATAATACAACGGTTCTCAACCTTTTTGATACCAGGGAGTGGCTTGCTGCCTTCCTAAACTGTCAGGGAGATGTCAGGGACCAATGCCAGTCCACGGACCGATCGTTGAGAAACACTGATATAACAAACATGACACGAGCACAGAATGCAACCAAATGGGGGGAAAATATCCCAGAGACATAAAACATCCACACTTTGGTGTAAGTTACTGGGAGGTTTTCCAAAGTCCCTGGGTCTCAGAGAGATGAGAACTTAGTCCCCTTCTGATCCCTTTGGCTTCCTGGCCAGCAATGAACTAGTGTAGATGTACTGTTTTAATAGAGGGGCCTTTCTCGGCATGCTATCTTCTGACAGCTAGGCTTCTAAATCTGGGAGTCTGAAATAACTGCTACCCCACAATAGCTGTTTTGCTGATGACTTTGGGAGGTTTCCACTCCTCCTCCTCCTCCTCCCTCAGAAGTAGTTTTGCTCTGGTTTACTACAGGCTTTTCCCTTTCTCCCCTCCTGAGAGCGCAAAGCCTCCCACCAGCCATTCCAGAGCAGACAGGCTCCTCTGCATTCACCATAAACCACAAAGACATAACAATCAGGACTATAGTCTCTCTCTTGACAAGGGAAAGTTTGCTACTTCCTTGATTGGAAGCATTTGAGTCATTAACATCTGTCACTCCTTTTAACAGGTGGCCCATGTCCCCCGCTCAGTTACTGCTCCTTGACATGAATGGCACAAGGGTAACAGAAGAATTTGGCCTATTATGTTACCCCTTTCAACCCACTACATTCCAATGAGTTCCTCCGTTCAATAGCCACCCCCTTTGAGATGCAGCAGAGCATGCAACAGGGCCATCCCCTTGCCTGCGCCCTTGGATTCATGTCTCTTGCTGCTAATACTACATCATTCAGACCTTTCTTGGTGGGGTGATTCTCCAAGGCTAACCTGTCTGAGTGGCTCAGAGGTCCCATGAAGCTCTGGCACAGAAGGACCACACCATGGACTGAAATGCACTGGGCCCCTCTGGGACACACCTGGATCCAATCTAGTATTGTTGTAAAGGGAAGAGGTGTGGTTTGTTTGGTGCTGTTATTTTGGGTTCTCGCTGCACAGTCCCCAACCCTGTGGCTATATTTCAAGAGCCTAACAAGACTGAGTACCCCAATGCTTGATATGTACACAGGAGAATAAGAGGTGGGGGGAATTGTCTGGGGAAGGTCTGGGAAGGGAAGGCATTTCTAACTAGTTCAGACATTAGAAATTCCTACCCCCGCCTTCTGCTCATTCCCAAGCCCTAATTACCTCAGTGCTGTGGGGACCAGGCTGGCGCTGTTGGATCCAGGGGTCAGGCTGAGGGCCAGCAGTGCTCCAAAGACAGCAGTGATGTATTTTGACAGGTCTTAAGGACACCTGCTACTTTTGGAGACTTTTCTCTTTTGCTAGCGGACCTTAGAACAAGTGTGTGTGTTGACAGGGGAGATATCACTTGAGGGTGTTGAGGGGGAAGCAGGAGGGAAATCTCCAGAGAACATGTCAGGAAAGATTTTTCTTGGCTACTTATCCTATTATAACTGATGGACAACTTAACTAAATGACAGAGTCCTCTCTCCTCAGCACTGGGGCCTACTTCATTGTTTGGTCGATATTCCCTCTTTTATTCCATAAAAAGCACTTTTAAACCAATTGATAGTTTTAATTTGTGGAGACCACACATGCTTGGCCCTTGTGTTTGTCCTGGATGGCTTCCATCTTGAAAATCCTGTTGGCCTCCTATCTGTCATTAGGCGCTTCCAAGACTCAGGCTTCCCCTCCCAGCCCTGTGATGCGTGGGAGGGCAAGCGTATCCCTGTGGAATGGCATGAAGGATGGAACATTCAGTAGCAAAACAAATCACAACACCCATGTTTCCCACTCCACCCCCATCAGAGAGACAGAGGAACAAAGCGGTTCTGGCATAAGACACCACTGGGCCTGGCACTAGAGATAGAGGCTGGCAAAGTGAGGCTGGCTGGAGCAGCTGCTGGTACGTGCAATGGGTCAAATTCTGTTCTATTACACCAATAACTACAGAGTGGGCCACAACTCTTCTGGTGTCAGTGTGCCCAGCTCCCTTGACTTCAATGGAGCTCTGCCTATTTACCCCAGTAGAGGATTTAGCCCCATGAAATCACTGGAGTCACTCCAGATTGACACCAGAGAGCAGTGTGGCCCACTTGTGTTTGTTTTCTGCATTTCTCTCCCCTCCTTTCCCCATTTTCTATTAGTTGCTCATGCCTGGTTCCAGCTGTCGGCCTGTTGGGTCATTGCACTTTCCTCTCCCCACTCTCTGCACTCTGTTTACAGTCTCTCCCCTTAGCAGAACACAAACCCAGTAATGTTCAGGTTCAGGGGAGATTTTAAAACTCACAATGTTCCAATCAGAGTCAGGAAGTCACTCGTCCCATGCTGCAACGCCATGCAAGATCAGCCGTTGTAATTGACTTTGGTGTCCTCCTTGCCTGCGTTACAGGGGGGCGCTCTTTGGGCACAGGAGAAGTCTAAAATTGGTCCAGTGGCCCAGGACTGATG